GGCTAGTGCGTGATCGGATGCTGCGGAACCGTCTGCCTGAGGGTAGCAGAGAGAAAAGTCTATGGCTTGGGTGGCTGGAGTCACTGATAATTCTCTTGGCTCACTTGTTTTTCATAAATATGAGAAGATTAAACGGTAGCTAAATCTCCAATACTATTCTTTAAAACATCACAATGTCCTTTCCTGCAATATCTGAATACATATTCTGTGCTGTACACCTATACAAGTAACAAAAACCTATACAAGTAAACCTATACAAGTAACAAAAACAGTCTTAACATTAAAAATGAAAAAGAAAATAGATATATTAATTAGGTGACATTTCCCAGAGGTGGAAGGGTGCTGGAAGGGCATCCGCTGCATAAAAACTTGCTGGAAAAGTTGGCGGTTCATTCCGCTGTGGCGACCCCGGATTAATAAAGGGACTAAGCCGACAAGAAAATGAATGAATGAATAATTAGGTGACATTCGAACTTGGATCGGCGGCTTCGTAACACAACGTGTTGACCACTGGACGACAATGGCGCTGTTACGCTGCTGCATTTGGAATAGAAAATAAGTATTTAATTGTTATCAGCAAAACTCTTAACCACAGTATTTCTATTGATTGCTTAAACTTTTTCTCCCATTTTTAGATTTCTGATCAAGTTATGACAGATTTATTAATGTAGTGAATCGTCTGATTTTCATTGAGCAGGTGTAATATTCATGTATATTCATTATTTGAATTCTTGTATTCACTAAGGGGCTGTCATCATTAACCTGCAGGCTGCATTTTGCTCACGGGGCTGCAAGAAAATAAATAAAAAGAGCGGAGCTGCTGAAAAACAATGAATAAAAAGAGTGAGGCTATGGTAAAATAAATAAATAAATAATTAAATAAATAAATAAAAAGTGTGACTGCTGAGAGAGCAAGCAGCTAAGAACTCGTGGCCAAAAAACAGACCTGCCCACCAGGAATTCTCCTGGTCCTTGCGATTTGCCAATCCGGGCCTGGTACTGGCACTATAGTAGTCGATACACCACAGATATAAAGAACTTGCTAATGATGCTGTTGTCTATTGCTGGTGTCTTTATTTCATGTTGAGCATTCTTCATACACAATATCCTCTAACTCTCCTTAGCAAATGCACTTATATGTTATAAGGATAGTTTACAGTTTGACCCAAAGAATGACCAGTCTGGTGGATGAAGAAGAGCCGGAGTCAGAGATTTAAATAAATAAATCAAGTTTACTGAAGATAGTTTGCAGTTTCATTCGCAGAAGCCAGCTTCAACACTCAATGAGTTCCTAGGCCGCTCTGCTTACAATCACCAATCAATAACAGTTATACCTTCACATAACGTCATTAACTGCGTCATACATACAGGTGCTCTAACCTGGTTGGTTAAAACACAGATAGACTAGGAACATTTCCACGTGGGGTTTGTGCGTACAATTCTGAACATTATCTTAAGCATAAACGTTAGACATCCCTTAGACTGATTAGAGCTGACTCCAGACCTGTGAAACGGATCAGCAATCAAATAGAGCACACACACATAAAGTATAATCTGTTTCTTATCCAAGGCTGAGTGTACTCTCAGCCGTCTATCAAAACTGGTTAAAAACTGGTATAATTTACATTCAGGCAGTTATAATCTTCACTACACAAAGTCTATCTTGAATAAAAAGTAGAATCACTTTATAAGATTTAACCGTAAAAATTGCAAAATCACTTTACACATTTTAGACAGTATTAACTCCTAGAAATAACAATAGACACAGTTGCTTCCAGTCCTCAGCCCTCAGTTCCACTCAAGGTCTCTGTGACCTCTGACCTAGTTGGGTGGCTTCTGAAAATAGTTATAAAGAGACAGGCAAATGCACTGAACATTCTTATATTAAGCAATGTGTTAACTTATTCATTAATTAAAATCAATTCACAGTTAAATACTGAGAAACAGGATGATGAAAAGGATAAATGTTGGTTCATGATGAGACGGATTGGAAAGCAGAAATCCGAATCCCTCAATGTAAACAATTATTATGGCCACTATTTTTACTATTTTAGCTTGCATTATGCGTTAATTGTGTACAATGTCTAAGAAAATGTGCCATTATCAAATTAGCATCTTATAGAAAAGCACCCAGCACTTGATATTAGGAGAAAGCAGACAATCTTATATTGCTTCCTTGCTTCCTTGCTTCCTTGTGCTCATTTGTCCTTCTTCTGCATCTGATCAGCATGTAATGCATAATAACACTAAATCTGAACAATAAACAACACAATATACAGAGAGACTCGAACACCACACTACACACACGCATTGTTTTATACAAAATTAAACTGAATTAAAAACAGAAAATAGCTGTGTATCATAATCAAATACTCACAGATGATGAGAGGCAGTGTGCTGGAGCCCATCCTGACACACTAACAGACTGCATTAACAGACAGACACTTGCTGTGTTTAAACAGTCATTTCACACTTTGAAGAAGGGAATTGGAAGATGGAATGATTGAACCCAGTTGAGCTTTATTTTAGCTGGATTATGAATAGATCCTCAGTTTCTGTATTGTTTACTTTCAGATACGGTTATTAGGCATATAACTGAAGAGTTCATCAAAAAACTTACTGTTTATTCACTCTCAAGTCATTACCAACCTAAATACATTTATTTCTCTGACAGCCATTCCTTAAGGTCAGATTCTACTTTAAATGTATGCACATCAAGTATGTGCATGCACTGTCAACCATTTCTGCACTACACTATGTAGATGTCAACACTGATGAACCAGTTGATCACAATAAAAAAATAAAAATAAATCAAACCAATAAATGTAACAAGAGTATCGAATACTGATAACTGAAGAACAACCTACCAACAACCCTGAGAGAACAACACTGAATAAAAATGCCCTTGTGTATATTTAGAGGTACAACCCCTATCCTAGCGCCACATCTAATACACTGCAGTGCAAACACAAACAGGACGTTGGCACACAGGGATGTTGGGGAGTGAACTTGATTTATGCATCTTTAAGTCAAAGGAATCTATCAGGCAAAGAGTTTGCAGGTTTAGTCTAAAAGGAATATCACACCAGATTGTAAAAATATATGGCACTGTGGTGTTTTGTTAACCTTTTATATACATTTACGAAGTTCTAAACATGTAATGATTATACAGATTAAGCTTATGATGACAGCTGATTAGCCACATGGGTTTATTGGGTTTATTCGGCAAATGCGTTTCCACCTCTCAACATATGCATTATTTCTTTCACAAGCCCAAAACCACCTTAAATAAGTGTGTAAAAATCTTTTTGCAAATTATGGGATTTTATTCTAAATTTGTCATGTTTGAACTTCATTACTTACAACTCATAAGTGTGCATTAACAATGGAAACAGTTGTTTTACCTCTTTTGTTGAATGACAAGCCGAAAAAGAGTCGTTTCCAAACCCCTTCTTTGTGTGATGCTAGTCTGCGGTGATTGGTTGGATGACCAGGCCTGTTGTGATTGGTCTAATGCATGCAGATACGTTCGCGAAGGTTTTATACTGTATGAACCAATTACTGTAAATATTTAAAGAACTTGGGACTCCTTTTCAGAACAGAAAAAATAAATAAAACATTGTGGACATTTTCTAAAACACCACAAAAGCTTAAAAATAAGGCTTCATAACATGGCATTTAGAATCACTAGAACTGTACTGAAGGCCGTTTCTAATAGTTTTAAAATGCGAATACTGCATTATGTTTAACCTAATTCGTTATTCATCACGCGTAATATAATTTATTTAAACATCTGCAAACTAAAAACAGGAGAAACTGTCTCCCGAGCCAAATTACTTACAACTTTTTCCTCGGTCGGCCGATGAACAAGACGAAATGTACTTGGCTACCGGACCTAGTTGAAAACAGCGTGGACGCCTCGTCTAAATGTTTGAAGGTTCAGTCAAGCCAAACTTGTAATAAAAGGTTAATATGATTCATACGAAAATGCAGCCAACAACTGTCTTATGTACTCATGTAGCACATTGCATTAGTCTCACTGTTCAGGAAACCTGAATAAAGCAACACTTCTCACTTCTAAATCAATCATTTCAGTTAGAGCAGAAACAGCTGGCAAACTAAAGTGGAAATTTCTTTCATTGATATTTAGGTGGCTCTTAAAAGAGCCTTTGTGTTCAATGCGTCAGAAGTGGATTTAGGCGCGCTCTCCGCGGATGCGGCGGGCCAGTTGGATGTCTTTGGGCATGATGGTGACTCTCTTGGCGTGGATGGCGCACAGGTTTGTGTCCTCAAACAGACCCACCAGATAAGCCTCACTGGCCTCTTGCAGAGCCATGACAGCAGAGCTCTGGAAACGGAGATCAGTCTTGAAATCTTGAGCAATTTCTCTCACCAGACGCTGGAAGGGCAATTTGCGGATCAGCAACTCAGTAGACTTCTGATAACGGCGGATCTCTCTCAGAGCCACGGTACCAGGCCTGTAACGATGAGGTTTCTTGACGCCTCCGGTTGCCGGTGCACTCTTACGGGCAGCTTTGGTGGCGAGCTGTTTTCTTGGAGCCTTTCCTCCGGTTGACTTACGGGCGGTCTGCTTTGTTCTTGCCATTGCAAAGAATCTACGAACTGTCTGTCTAATGGTAAACAATAACGTTCACGCTTCCAGAGACCGCCTTTTAAACTCTCCAGCTTCATTGCGTGACTGTGGAAGCATTGGCTGTTACATGTACATTACAGTGTGACGTGTGAACTCTGACCAATGGCTATGCGTTTTGTCTTTTTCAACAGACGAGTGGCAGCCTGGTGTGTTTTCCCGCTCAAAAGAACAAAATAAATATATTTAGTATAAATGTTACTTGCAGGCAAAAAAACTTGACATACTTTTTTTTAAAAGGTTCTTGTTCAATTCTCGACAATATTTCTTAGTGTACTTTGAAAATAAGCAGAGATGTAGAGTAGTATTGAAACCTTAAGGGCTTTTTAGATTTGAGGAAAGACTTCAAGTGAGAATTTGTTGTGGTAGAGATATTTGAGCTGATTTGTTCTGAATTAGTGTCACAACCAGTGCTGTATTTTAGCCCTTTAACTATCATTTAATTCATAAAATGCATAAAACATAGTTTTAATAGTCGAGAATATCCTCATAAGGGATTCTTTCAAATCTAAACTACTTGCGTTTTCGGCCCTGTATTCATGTTGATGTGTTAAGTTGCTGTTTTAAGCATGTACGTTGAGGATATACCAGTTTTAGAGCAATCCTGAAACGCGCTCTAATTGTTGAAATCATACTCTTCACTGTTATGTAAGTGGCTCTTAAAAGAACCGTTTGGGTTTTAGGAAGAATCGAGCAGAAATAGTCGATTACTTCTTCTTAGGAGCCGCCTTTTTAGGCTTCGCCGCCTTGGGTTTGGCTGTTTTGGGCTTGACTGCCTTCACCTTCTTGGGGCTCTTGGCTGCTTTCTTGGCCGCTACTGGTTTCTTTGCCTTCTTGGGGCTCTTGGTGGCCTTCTTGGCAGCTGCTGGCTTCTTGGCTTTCTTGGGGCTCTTTGTCGCCTTCTTCACAGATGTGGCCGCTGGTTTCTTCACCTTCTTGGGAGATTTCTTAGCGGCTGGTTTCTTGGCCTTCGCGGCGGTTTTCTTGGCTGCCTTCTTGGGCTCGGCTTGCTTCTTGTTGAGCTTGAATGAACCGGAGGCGCCTGTGCCTTTGGTTTGGGCCAGAGTGCCATTGGTTACCAATGCCTTGACGGCGGTTTTGACGCGGGAGTTGTTCTTCTCCACATCATATCCACCGGCGGAGAGAGCCTTCTTCAGGGCTGCGAGAGACACGCCGTTTCTCTCCTTTGATGCGGTCACAGTCTTGACGATGAGGTCGCGAACATTTGGGCCCGCTTTCTTGGGCTTGGACGCCGCTTTCTTCTTGGGAGCCTTCGCCGGTGAGGCAGCGGGTGCTGGAGCAGTTTCAGCCATTTCTCTGAGCAGGAACCTTCACCTACAACTAGCAGTGAATAATGAAGCTCTGCTGGGCGGCGCTGTGAACTTATCTACCACATGAGAACCGTGTAGACTCAATCACCGCCTCTCAGAGAATCGCCTCGACACAAAACTTGTGCTTTCTCCGTTTAAACACAGAGCAAAACAAGTGCATTAAAATATTTTTCAGCAGACTAGAAAGACCTTATTGATATGAAGAGGGTCAAGGCTTCATCGCTGAATTCAAATAGGAGACGCCGTAAATGTAGTTTTAGATTTATGGAGTCATTTATCCTCTGTTCTTTCACTGAGGTTGTTTTTCTGCACATACGGCCTGTGAAAAATAAAACAAGATGTGCAGCATTATTACGAAATGATTTGTTTTATGTACTGAACACGTCAAACAATTAAGGAGCCAATTTAGACTATTTGTAAATCTAATTTTAGCTTCCGATGGGTTTACTTTGGCTTTTTATAAGCTTCTCATAAACGCTATAAATACATTAACAACATGAATCATCACTTCAAACTATTTAAATTCATTATTTCAGGAAATGTTTGGCTAATTGTATTTCATATAAAATAATTGTGTAAAGTGAATAATTTCTGAACCTTACATTGTTTTATTTGATCAAGTCTTACTGTTCATTTAATGATGAGTAAATAGTTGTTTGCTGGCGTCTTTATTCAAATTACTTAACTATACTTTAACCTCTTCAGATTTGTAAATAATGGCGGTTCTTTTGACATTATAGACCACACATAAGATATAGCTCTTTAGATGAGAACATGGGTGGCTCTTAAAAGAGCCTTTGGATTGGAGAAGTTGAAAGGCGTCAGAAATCGTTTTACTTGGAGCTGGTGTACTTGGTGACGGCCTTTGTGCCCTCAGACACGGCGTGTTTGGCCAGCTCTCCGGGCAGCAGCAGACGCACGGCGGTCTGGATCTCTCTTGATGTGATGGTGGAGCGCTTGTTGTAGTGAGCGAGACGAGAAGCCTCACCGGCGATGCGCTCGAAGATGTCGTTGACGAACGAATTCATAATGCCCATCGCTTTAGAGGAGATACCAGTGTCAGGATGAACCTGCTTCAGCACTTTGTACACGTAGATAGCATAGCTCTCCTTCCTGGTCCTCTTGCGCTTCTTTCCTCCTTTACCAGCGGTTTTAGTAACCGCCTTCTTGGAGCCTTTCTTGGGTGCGGGCTTCGCTGGTTCTGGCATATTCGAATGGAGAAGGTAATATGTTCTGTCAACTATACGGGTGAGACATAAGAATTTATTAGGCCCTTGTGCAGATTTCAGAAGGAATAACCAGCCTTCTGATTGGTGCATTGGAGAAATAAATATCCACCTCTGATTTAATTGGTCAAAATTGAGTCACGCTAACAAGCAGATTTACCAATTGTATGCTTTGAAACCTGTAGGCCCCGCCCAGGAATCCCTTTCGCATAGATAACCGGCGTCCGGTCCATCGCTTTACTTTCCCTCTCAGAAGTTCTTTTTAAATCATTTAATTGTTTTTATTATAAAACAAACAAATAACTTATGCGAATAACTATTTTCTAGTAATATACAGCTCATCAAATCAAATTATAATAAATTGATAGATGCTTTCTTCAAGCAAACGCAGTCATACTATATTAAGTATTCTGGCTAAATCGATACTGAATTGGTCTTTTGTGACTTAAAGAGCATATTGTAGGTTACACACCACAGTGAGACAAAGTAGGTACTAGATTTTTAAAATATACGCTAAAGTTTATTATTAAGCCGTCTGGAGTCGGTTTGTCACGGAAATTTCTTGTCTGAAAAACCGCCAGACTGGTATTGGAGTCGATGAGTGTTTTTTTAACCTACAAGATGCTTTATAAGACTAAAAAAAAATAAATTGTATGTATGACATGTATTATTTGTCACAACTGGATTTCGAGCATTTAATAAATAATTTCAAGGTGAAAGACATCCACACAATGTAACTTTCAAAACCGTTACAATAACATACAAAGCTGTAAACACTTTATTACTCATTATAAAGCAACAAGTAAAAACTAACTCTTTTGAGACATCGTGGGTGGCTCTTAAAAGAGCCGTTGGATTAAGGATCGATAACAGAAGTTTAACCGCCGAACCCGTACAGAGTGCGTCCCTGACGTTTAAGAGCATACACCACATCCATAGCGGTCACGGTCTTCCTCTTGGCATGCTCGGTGTAGGTAACAGCGTCACGAATCACGTTCTCCAAGAACACCTTGAGAACGCCGCGAGTCTCTTCGTAGATCAGACCAGAGATGCGCTTGACTCCACCACGGCGAGCGAGACGACGGATGGCGGGTTTAGTGATCCCTTGGATGTTATCACGCAACACCTTACGATGACGCTTAGCGCCTCCTTTTCCCAGTCCTTTACCGCCTTTGCCTCTACCAGACATGATGATCAGATGTTAACTCAAAGTCAAATGTGTAGGGTTCGGGTTTTGTACAAGAGGCTTTACAGTCACTTAGACGACCTAGTTGAAATACTCAAGGCGGAGCTAAAACGCAACGTCACAGTAAACGCGTCAATCTTCAGGCCATGTGGCTCGGATTGTATTTTTTTTTGTTTGAATTACATAAATAAACCGACAGCTCACCCAAAAGCCTTTAAAAAATGTATATTATACAACAGATTTATTGGCAATATTAATGGCTCTGCAGTGGATGAAATTTAATAAGATAAATAACGCAATTACAGCATTAGATAGTTACTCATCTGAAAATATCAAATCTGTTGTCATTTATAGAAATGATACTCTCAATGTGATTTGTGTATTAAACATTATTAAACACTACACTAACATTATGATAGATAGATAGATAGATAGATAGATAGATAGATAGATAGATAGATAGATAGATAGAATATTCAGGTTCAAAAAAGTTTTTTTTTTAGGGATTGTGCGTCTGACGCTTATATAGTTCACATTGTTTGACAAATAATATCACAAGAATAAACCATATTTAAAAATGGAGTAAAGATTAATGAATCCAACACTACGTTAGTAGAAATCTAAGACCTACACTCTCTAATCATAACAAACGCTGCCTAAACATCCTCCTTAATGAAAGTCTTTAACTAAAATCAGTTTTAACAAAATTGCCATTTATAGAGAAAGTGGGTGGCTCTGATAAGAGCCTTTGGGTAGGTTTAAAATTGCAACTTCAGTTTATTTGCCTTTGGCGGCCTTCTCTGTCTTCTTGGGCAGCAGCACGGCCTGGATGTTGGGCAGCACACCGCCCTGAGCGATGGTCACTCCACCCAGAAGCTTGTTCAGCTCCTCATCATTACGCACCGCCAGCTGCAGATGTCGGGGGATGATGCGGGTCTTCTTGTTGTCCCGGGCAGCGTTTCCAGCCAATTCCAGGATCTCAGCAGTCAAATACTCGAGCACAGCGGCCAGATACACTGGAGCTCCAGCACCAACCCGCTGAGCGTAGTTACCCTTGCGGAGCAGTCTGTGAACGCGACCAACGGGGAACTGCAGGCCCGCCCTAGAGGAGCGAGTCTTAGCCTTTGCTCGGGCCTTACCGCCGGTTTTGCCTCTTCCGCTCATGATGCACAGTTAGTTCTCAAGAAACAACGTATAACTCCGTTGTGCGCGACAATCCGATTTTAAAGCTAACGTGCTTCTCGCCTATTGGTCAGAAACTATCTCAGTTGAAAACCAATCACTGCACTTCCCTCCAATTCACAAAAGATCGAGGGTGCGGCCTTTGCAAGTTTGTGGCGAATGTTTGTAATACCCGTGTAATGAAAGCCTTTTCCTAATAAAATTACTTTTAAGAAAACAAAATCACATAAACTAAACTCTCAAAAACGACTCAAACTAACAAACAATTCATCGAAATGCATTTTCAAATGAGAAATCAAACGCTCAAATGTATTTGGATTTTTTTTTTCATGATCAACTCTGTATAAACCTGTGATAACTAAATGACGAATCAAATGCTCAAATGTTCTGGTTATGGTATGAAAGGGATAGTTAACCCACAATTAAAATCTATTAGTATTACACAACTTCGGATAGAGCACAGTTGGTTATGTCATGTATTTTGTATGAGTGTGCTACCCGTACCTGAGTGACGTCATCATGTTGAGTTCAGTTAATAAAAGAATACTGCATGGAACAGCACGGCTACTCTAGTGTCGTCTTATACATCATTTAAAAATGTAAAATACATAACAGGTTAAACCAGTCATTGGGAACACGTGAATTGGGTAAATTAGGTCCTGCTCACCAAGTCAATGACACTTTTATTATAGCATCGTCAGTGAAAACGCAGTACAATCTAAGGTGTTGGGAACAATTAGAAAATTTAGCAAAAAAAAGTGGACCAGAAAAGCTTTTTTCTCTTATGTTCCATCTTTTACCTGAAACTGCCTGTTATTGCATCTTTAGCTGGTTTGCCAGCCCTCATAAAGCTCATGGAAACACTTTATACTGACCCCAAAGCGATTACAAGCCTTACAGTTTTAATGTTGAACACAAAAGATGATTCTTGAATGAAGTAGTCCACATGTAAAACCTGTATTCTTTGACTTGTAGGAAAAACATACCAAGGAAGTCAATGGTCACAGGGTTCTAGCTTTCCTCAGAATATTTTTTGTGCAGAAGAAAAAGGGTTTGAAATAAGTAAATGATGAAAACTACGTTGAAGCGTACAATCCCCTTCACATTTACTTTGATATCATATATGCTGATGTTTTCACAGATTAAAGGTCAACTTCGACCAACCCAGTTTCCTTCAAAGAAAACTTGTAGAAATTAAAAAGAAATCTTTGCTTGGTGTGAAAAACCTTTCAGAAGTATATGGAGCAGCGACAAACTAATTATTTGGTTTCTAGAAGTACCTTACTTCCACAGACAGCAGAAAAAGGGCTCTTTATGTGTAAACGTGGGTGGCTCTTAAAAGAGCCTTTGGATCGCAGAAATTGATTCAGCGCTTTACTTGGAGCTGGTGTACTTGGTGACGGCCTTTGTGCCCTCAGACACGGCGTGTTTGGCCAACTCCCCGGGTAGCAGCAGACGCACGGCGGTCTGGATCTCTCTCGATGTGATGGTGGAGCGCTTGTTGTAATGAGCGAGACGAGACGCCTCACCGGCGATGCGCTCGAAGATGTCGTTGACGAACGAGTTCATGATACCCATCGCTTTAGAGGAGATTCCAGTATCAGGATGAACCTGTTTCAGCACCTTGTACACGTAGATGGCATAGCTCTCCTTCCTTGTCCTCTTGCGCTTCTTTCCTCCTTTGCCGGCGGTTTTAGTTACCGCCTTCTTGGAACCTTTCTTGGGTGCGGTCTTTGCTGGTTCAGGCATGATCGTCGTTTATAGTTTTCTGGATGTACTTTCTTCAACGGAATGCACTTGCTTTTATACACAGCGTATGCTAATTTGACATAGAAAAGACTGCGGTTATTGATTGGTTTATCCACTGCCCTACCCCTGGAATGATTTGGTTGGTCAGGTCAAACAATCGATGAAATGAAGGAGAGCAAATCAGAGGCTTTAAAAAAATTCGACTCCGCCCACTTCTTTGTGTTTGACGTCATTTACCACCACCCATGCTGAACTGTTTCTTGGTTTAAAATTTCGTTCAATAATGAATCCTTTAAACTTATTTTTAGTACGTTTCTTAAACCTTGTGACCAATCTTTTTTTTTTCTTAATAGAGGCTTTGTAAAAAAAATAAAAACTTTATTTTTTTGTTATTGTATTATCTTTTTAATGCAGTGGTTATTTTACTTCGGTTCAATAAAAAAAAAGTTTCTTGGTGCGTTTCCTGGCTAAATTTTATGTTATATCATCGTATGCATGCTTGTCAGTTAAACGCATTTCTTTAATCCTCATTTTTACTTTCATTGCAAAATAATATAGGCCATTAACGCCACCTTACATTATTGGTAAAAAGGTCTATCAATAGCCGTTTGTTAGGATTTGTTCACATCTGATGCTGTGATGTTTATTAGATCAAACAGAAGTGATGGATAACTTAATTGTACCAAATCACCAGTCTTTAACAGACTGAGGTAAAATTACATGTCTTAGCAAAGTTCAACTGAAATATCCTCTTTTATAAAGTCAGATGGGTGGCTCTTAAAAGAGCCTTTGTGTTTAGTGCTTTAAAGGTTTAAGCGCGCTCTCCGCGGATACGGCGGGCCAGCTGGATGTCTTTGGGCATGATGGTGACCCTCTTGGCGTGGATGGCGCACAGGTTTGTGTCCTCAAACAGACCCACCAGATAAGCCTCACTAGCCTCCTGCAGAGCCATGACGGCGGAGCTCTGGAAACGCAGATCAGTCTTGAAATCTTGAGCGATTTCTCTCACCAGACGTTGGAAGGGCAGTTTACGGATCAGCAGCTCAGTGGACTTCTGATAACGGCGAATTTCTCTCAGAGCCACGGTACCGGGCCTGTAACGGTGAGGCTTCTTGACGCCTCCGGTGGCCGGTGCGCTTTTACGGGCAGCTTTAGTAGCAAGCTGCTTCCTTGGAGCCTTTCCTCCGGTAGATTTACGAGCGGTCTGCTTAGTTCTTGCCATTGCAGCAAACAAGCAATTCGGATACTTGAATGAACACAAACAACTCCAGTGCTCGTTGTCACGTATTTAAAGCATAGAGCAGCCACGAGCTCATTGGACGGCGTGAATTCAAATGATTTGATTGGTCATCATCTTTCTTCACTTTACTACAGTTGACCAATGACTGTACGTCTCTGCTTTTTGAATCAATGTCGGTTTAGCGTCAAGCTCCCGCCTAATCGTGCATTATTCAGCTCTGTGTAAAAAAAAAAAAAGGAAAAAAGTATTAAAACGTCGGGTTTACTGAATATACATATTAATTTAACGTAAAGTACTTTATAACTTAATATATCCGCTTAAAAAAATATATATATATAGAATTTAGTTTAGATGTCTCTTTAACTTGCCTATTGCAGTGCAGCTCGATAAGCCTGTGACTAGTGTGAATGGGCTACATATGTATTGAATTCGAGGGAATGGAGAAGTTTCATAAAGCTTCATTATGAATAAATATAACGAGTAAAATAAAAAACGCGGTTTATCAACATGTGCTGATTTCATCCCTTCATAAGTTTATTTGTACAAAACTTCAGTACGTCTAACATCTATACCAATAAAGTGCTAGATCCCTAAGTAAATCACTCTTTTAAAGAGAAAATTGGTGGCTCTTAAAAGAGCCTTTGGGTTAGAAGCAATCTTCGCCTTGTTTACTTCTTGGCGGCCTTCTCGGTCTTCTTGGGCAGCAGCACGGCCTGGATGTTGGGCAGCACGCCGCCCTGAGCGATGGTCACTCCGCCCAGGAGCTTATTCAGCTCCTCATCATTGCGCACGGCCAGTTGAAGGTGTCGGGGGATGATGCGGGTCTTCTTGTTGTCACGAGCGGCGTTTCCAGCCAACTCCAGGATCTCAGCGGTCAAATACTCGAGCACAGCGGCCAGGTACACCGGAGCCCCGGCACCGACGCGCTCTGCATAGTTACCCTTGCGGAGAAGTCTGTGAACGCGACCAACGGGGAACTGCAGACCTGCTCTAGAGGAGCGAGTCTTGGCCTTGGCGCGGGCTTTTCCACCTGTTTTGCCTCTTCCGCTCATTTTATTCACACTATAGTCTCTCAGCTACCTTCTGTAACACTAACATAAGCGTCTGTGACGCGCGTTTTAAAAGAAAGCATGCAACTGTCCTATTGGCTGGAGACTGAACACGTTACAAACCAATCAGCAAACTTCCCCTCGAACTGTTAACCCAACCCCCTTTCCGCTGCTGACTTTGTTTATAACCATTTCCTGTTATCTTCAATCATTCTTTTCGGCTTAGACCAGGGGTGTCCAAACTTTTTGGGCCGAGGGCCAGATGCAAAAAAACAACGTTGTCGCGGGCCAAATTTTACACACATCACACAGACACGCATACAGTTGAAGTCAGAATTGTTAGCCCCCCTAAATTGTTAGCCCTGTTTATAAAGCCCAATTTCTGTTTAACGGAGAGATTTTTTTCCACACATTTCTAAACATATTAGTTTTAGTAACTCATTTCTAATAACTGATTTATTTAATCTTTGCCATGATGACAATAAATAATATTTGACTAGATATTTTTAAGACACTTCTATACAGCTTAAAGTGACATTTAAAGACTTAACTAAGTTAATCAAGTTACAAGTTAAGGTAATTAGGCAAGTTATTTTATTACAATGGTTTGTTCTGAAGACTTAAGGGGCTAATAATTTTGACCTTAAATGGTTAATAAAAAAATTAAAACCGCTTTTATTCTAGCCGAAATACAACAAATAAGTCTTTCTCCAGAAGAAAAAATATTATTAGACATACTGTGAAAATGTCCTTGCTCTGTAAACATCACATGGGAAATATTTAAAAAAGAAGAAATAAATCAAAGAGGGGCTAATAATTCAGACTTCAACTGTGTGTATATAGACAGACAGACAGACAGAAAGATAGATAGATCATAACAAGAACTGCTGCTTAATTGAATGCATGTAATAGCGACACCCGGTGGTTATTTATTGAATTACGTTCATTTTTGTATAGCGGGCCAGATTCTATTGATATTTATAAAAAGCCTCGCGGGCCGCCACAAAACTGGTTGCGGGCCGCAGATGGCCCGCGGGCCGTAGTTTGGACACGCCTGGCTTAGACCCTTAATTAAGTCCTTTATTCGTATGTTTTACACAGCGGATGCCCTTCTAACCGTTATCCAACAATGGGATACACCCATGCGCTCTTTCATTTACACACACACCACAGACAATTTAACTCATTCAGTTCCCTTCTTGGGTATGTGTTTGGACTGTGGGGGAAATCGGAGCACCTGGAGGAAACCATCTAACCTTCTAATCTCTTTTTTCTTTTTTCTCTCCCTTAATGCAGTTATTAAAGGGATTCTGCGGTTTTAGTCAACTTCTGAAAAGTGCAGTTATTTTTGAACACGAAAAACGGTTATTTAAATATATTGCAGTCTTACTGCAATACAACTAAAGTACTACTACAGTACAAATGCAGTGCAACTAAAGTGATACTACTACTATAATGTACTGCAATACATTTATTGCACTTGGGTACATAAGTATTAAAATTGCAAAATAGTTTTATTACGTCTTGCAGTATTGTAGATGCCTTTCTATCGTTAGTTATACTTCTGAAAAGTGCAATACAATATACTGTAGTAGTACTTCAGCAATACAACTGAAAACTGAACCCTCATTTGGAAATCATTGTCTTCTGGGAAAAGTAATAGTTGTGCTGCAGTTGCACAGTAGAAGTTCTTCAATTGTATTGCAATAGCCGTATGGCATGTTGTACTGCAGTAGTACTTAACCACTGCAGTAGTTGTACTGCATTATAGTAGTACTTTCACTTTAGTGCTGTTCCAGTAGTTGTAATGCGTTTTTACTCCAGTAGTACTTCAGTTGTATTGCAGTAGTTGCACTGCATTTGTACTTAAGTAGTACTTTAGTTGTATTGCACTAGTTGTACTGCAGTTGGTTGTATTGTACTTCAGTTGTATTGCACTAGTTGTACTGCAGTTGGTTGTATTGTACTTCAGTTGTATTGCACTAGTTGTACTGCAGTTGGTTGTATTGTACTTCAGTTGTATTGCAGTAATTCTGCAATATACTTAGATAATGCAGTTTTTGTGTCCAAAATAACTGCACTTTCAGAAGTTTACTAAAACTGCAGTAATGTTCTGTAAGGGCCCTCTAGGTTATTTTATGTTTCTTCATTTAGTCATTTAGTCATTCAGTTGTACAGCACATTTTACTGCTCTTGAACTTTATTGCATTATATAGTAGTAACTGCTGTACTGTTCACTATACTGCAGTTATTTTAATTAATAATTTTTGGGAATAAACTCTTCAAATTCTAATTAAAAATTCCTTGAATCCAAAAATCATACCTGAAAAAAAAAAGTATATATATATATATATATATATATATATATATATATATATATATATATATATATATATATATATATATATATATATATTCTTGGAAGATGTTGAAAAACATCCCATTGGAACACAAGTGCAGTACAGTTTTTACACACTATTGGCATATTAGACTACAGCAGCGCGAGTGCAGTGAAGACGGAGTTTACTTGTTTTTACTCCAATTTACTGCAATTTATACTGCTGTTGAACTTTATTGTACTGTATTTAATCTGTATTTAAACTTTGCAATTTTGCAATTGTACTTAATTTTACTGCAGTTATACTTCTATACTGCTGCTGTACTGCTGTTTTACTTCAATTGGAATCATTTATGACTAATCTAATCCCAATTATCTAAAACATAAATATTTACTGCAACACCACACTTCATAATGCTTCACAATTATCTGTTACTCCCACTGGAAATTTGAATTTTTGTAAATAAAAACATTATACTTATAAAAGATAGCAGAGCATTACGTGCCATATCAACAACATTATTCCAAATTAAAATTCATCTGGATTTGGACAGAGATATTTGATATGCCATACTGACTACTGTGGGATTGAGATCTGGGTGAGCACTGGGCAGCACAAAAATCTGTTAGAATCTCTATAAACAGTGTATAAAATCCACACTCAAACACACACACACACACACAATTCATAAAAATAATAAAAGTTGAATCATTTCTTTATGAACTCTTCATTTCTTCAAAAGGTTCAGGACAAAAAAAAAGCATATACCTAAAAATGGCAGACAACCTGACAAAAACGAAACTTCCACAAATTACATAGGCCCTTCCTTTTCTCCCTGACTGAACAATAAGGTGGAACACATTTAGAGAGGAAATAAACAACCTCCTCCTACGCTTTCCGTCAAAGGAGTTCAAGCTTGAACAAACCAAACATAAAAAATCAGAGTTTGGTGATAGTGTATAGGAAAAACGCAGCGACATAACATAAATAATGAATCACACACACAATGCCACAGTAAACAAAATACAACCATCAGGCGTGTGCAGGAGCTATGAAATGTGCTTATTTAAAAAAAAGCATCAGTGTCTATAAGAAAAAGAGCAGGTATAAATAAGCAAGTTACTGAAACGTACTCATAGTCAACTCAGCACAAAGGTTAAGACGTTGTTTAATATTGCTGTTTTTCGATCATCACACTGATGGTGATTTGCTTTTTAGTAATATGCCAGTAGTAGACACATTTCAAGTTGAACAGCACAGCTTCACTTCTTAAAATTAATGATCTGTCTTATAGTACAGTAAACTTGTCACAACTTCATACTTTCACTTTCGATTTGGCCATTGGCACATTTACCGATGTAAGAATCTCCCAGCTTTAATTAAACATGAATTAAATTAAATTTAATTGAATTTAAACAGCTTTAATTGTTTATTTGTGAATACCAGTGCTTGAGTGTTCATTCATTCATTTTGTTTTCGGCTTAGTCCCTTTATTAATCACAAACTGACCAAGGCAAGCTCGAACAGGCAACCTTCTTATCAATTTCACTATAGCCGTTTACTCGCACGCGCCCGTCAGAATCGACAGGCCATGCAGCGCAGAAGCTCCATTGAATATACTGGAGTAAAATAAATGCTCATATTACAAAGGCATAGCAGGGAAAAATGTAATTTAATGCAGTGCTACTTGTACAATCTGAGACTCGCTTTATATCGGATATCACTCGCTGATCGCTGATTTTTAAAGAAAACAGACCTTAAACGCGCCGGTTTTTGCATTGGCATACAGTTCGCCGAAAGCGCCTAACCCAGGTTACTGGCAAATTAAAAGTCCTATTAGCATGCTTCGGCATATACCCCATTCACTTCAGTTCAATTCAAATCAATTTAATCTTGTTTTATTGTCATGACAAATATCTTAAAAATGTGTAGTCAAAGAATTTGTAAAGTTTACACCATGAACACAAAATAGATATAGCAGTGAGAAACTAATACTACTACTACCACTACTACCACTACTACTAATAATAATAATAATAATAAACAATATGTTTTAAAAAAGAAAGGGTATTTTTTTATTTAGAAGAAATATGGCCGTTCGTTCCACTGTGGCGACCCCTGATGAATAAAGGAATGAGTGAATGAATGAGTGAATGATTGAATGAATGAATGAATGAAACACAAACAAATCAGCAAAGAAAGGGTCTCATAAGCAGTTTCACTTAGCTGCTGCACTGATGCCATCAACTTACATCATGCTCGTGCTCGCAAAGTAAAGTCGAAAACATTTTATTCCTTACACCACAAAAATATTGTTTAGACCAAACAAAAAAAATTTACGCAACAGTTTGCATCAATATATTCAAGTTACAACCACATCTAACAAAATAAATTTTAGACAATAAACTTTAATATGTTAGCCAAATGGCCTTTTCCTCTTCAATCAGCGGCACTTTACATAGCATAAACTCCATTTATTTAAGTTCAGTACTTTTTTTAAATTAAAATTTAAAATAAATCCAGTGTTCCGTGCTTAATTCCCATAATTATACATGCAAGTTTTTAAGTTTAGAGCCTCAAATAAATTAAGTAGCTGAAATTGTTAATTGTGTTTTCAAATTTACTGTTCATTTAGTTGCTTGCAACAAACACATTCAACAACAACATTCTTGTTCTACAGTATTTTTTTATTTGTTTTAAACCTCAGTCTCAGTATTTTACAGTACAAAAATATGTACTGTCTCATATAAACGATGCGAAAAATAACAAAAAAACATCAGCGTGTGGACTTAAAAATACGAAACAACATAAAGAACCCAATTTACTCTGAAATAAGTAGAGATTTCAGAAAGCAATGTTCTTGAGATATTTTTGCACTGGGCTTAAGTCAATCAAGTTCGTGAAACTACACAAGTGTATTTAAAATCCTTGAGGTAGTTCAGATTCAGAGTGTATATTATGCCCATCAGCAGACCGCAGCAGCTTGAGATATCCATTCTATTTAGGATTCGCATGCCCTCAACTATGATGGTTTCCATCTTGTGGTTCAGTTCCAAACTAGACAGATCACCAATAATGGCAATTGTCATCACTTGCCTCCTCATTAAGACATGCATAATAAGTTCCTCCTAAAACTCTTGTGTATTCTTGTAAAGCAAGAAAAAAACGTTGAGTCAAAAAACACTGCTAACATCAACTGTTTTACTAGGAGTAGACAACACTCTAGTGCAAGGGTCTCAAACTCAATTTACCTGGGGGCCGCAGGAGGCAAAGTCTGGGTGAGGCTGGGCCGCATAAGGGATTTCACAAAATGTCATTATTAACAGATTTAATTATTTCTTCTGAGCATGAAGTGTCCTGAACATTAATAGAACATTGAGTGAAGATTATGAACAGTTCTTCTGAACATGGCATCTTTTGCCTACTTCTTGCTGCCAGAGACTTGACAGCGCTTCTTCTCACAAATCTGAACCACATTTGGCTTTAGAGCGGAAGCAGTTGAGACCCTCAGTATGGCTTGAAGATGATCATCATTAAGTCCAGACCTGTCTAGACTCACTCAAAACTTTCATTCCCTCACCTAAAAAAAAGGCGTATATATGTATAAATAAAACACCCCCACCCCACTCCAGTCACATCAGTCTGTACCAGTCTGTGTCTACCTATAATATATATAAGATGCAGGCTGTAGCTAGGTAGGTGGCAGGCTGCAGATAGGTAGCTAAGTGGCAGGCAGGGGCGGGAACAGCTTACCTTGGTTCTGGCCACGCAAGTTCCCTCCTAACACTTCCCGCCCGTCACAGCTTCTAACAAAGGGGCGGGGTGCGTGGTGACGTCACCGGCATCACCGCCCCTTTGTTTACACGGCGGGCGGGGAATGCCAGTGACCGCTGTGTACGGATAGAATCACCGGAGCGGGGAGCGCTCTCTCTCCCCGCTCCGCTGATTCTGTCAGTGTACAGCTGTCGGCGCGGGCCACAAAATATTGCACTGAGGGCCGCAAATGGCCCGCGGGCCGCGAGTTTGAGACCCCTGCTCTAGTGGAATGGAAAAAATGGATTTGGAAATAAATAAAACTCAGACATCTCACCTTAAAATGTAATTTGTGCCAAACAGTCTGCCTAAAACTGGTCCAGACTTGCTTCTTGCTTTTTCAGTGGGGGAGGAGCTTTGAAATCCGGAAATCCTCATCAGTTATCTACATTCACTTTAAGATTTAAAGGGCTAGCATTGCACCAGACCCCCGTAAGTGATGTCGTTTGAAAGTGTAGATTCTATATTTTATGCACACGCATCACTTTGGTTTTTATTCTACTGTACAAAAGTTATTTACACTTAAATACACAGTATTTTGGATACCCAAGCTGGGTATTGAACATTGGTTCATTTTCATATTTTTCATATGACACATGTACAAGTTGTAAATAAATCGCTCTGTTTCCATGGCTCAGAAGTGAAAACAATACATTTATGATCAATAAGCAGCCCCAGATAGCACAGACAGCTGTCATCTCTTACCTTATGCTGTGCGCTTCATGGCCATTTCACCTCTGTTTTTGAGCTGATGTGCATAAGTAATCCTTTAATATGTCGGATGTGGTCCAAACAGTCAATTATGTTTGATCAAACAAAAGAATAGTGAAATATGAAAACAATGATCGATCCCTGTGGTTTGTACAGCACCTCTCATCAGTTGGAATGCAATAACTTTTGCATGGATTATGATAGAGACATTTTTGTTTTTTCATATGATTACAGACATGTGCAGACACCACCAAATTAATAACAGCACCCTAGACCACACAGAACCTAAAAGGTACACTTTCAAATTTAAGTTTATAAAAATACAAAAAGCGCCTCTTTTTTTTTAGGTGTTTATTATTTCACAGACAACATATACAGATATTTTAAACACTTTCAATAGTGTTTTTTGAAAATTCAAAGGGTTTTCTTTAAAATGATACCAAATTTTCGCATTTACACCTCTGCATGTGGATTTGGGAAGCTTTTAAATTTGGGTAGGCAAAATCCAGGCGGAAATCCCAAAATAACAGCAGAGTTTAACTGGTTAAACAAGGCTTACAATCAAGTTTAATGGAGCGATTCCAAGATCTCGAGCAACAATCAGTTTGTGCAAAAGACAAAACCAAAACAATCCGCCAGATATTTCAAAAGAGATCCGGGGCGTACAATGATTACTGTAGACTGTATGTGTGGATGTGACGGCATGAGGAGAATTACCGGAATAAAGCTCATGTAACTGAGCTCAACAACATTGATGACAAATAAAGAGAGAATGTATGTCTTGTGGAGAGTTTTGTCCCCTCCTCCCTCCGCTTTTTCTTTTAGCACACAGCGCTCTGTTAAAAATAGTCTGCTACAGGATGGGCTCCAGTGCACTGCCTCTCCTTCTCTGTGAGTAGCCTATTTAATTCTACACTTGTATTTGTGTTCTTATACATGGAGCTTGCATGTTTTCCTTGTGTTTGTGTGGGTTTCTTCCGGGTGCTCCGGTTTCCCCCGCAGCCCAAACACATGCACTATAAATGAATTAAATAAAGTAAATTGGCCATAGTGTATGAATGCATGTGTGTATGGCTGTTTCCCAGCTGGAACATGCCCGTAGCCAGCCTATTAAAATGGGTCGTTCTTTTTTCTCAAAAAGAATTTTTTATTTTTTATTAAATTATGAGGTTAAAATACTGCATTTCAGTGATGTTTTAAGCACTAAATTTAGCTTGATAGTGATCATTACCACACTTTTTGTTCACACAATTTCTTACATTTTTGTGAAGTGCTTTCCATGATAGTTTGTTTACCAAAAAAAATTTTAATAAAATGTTTTGAACAAAGAAATGTAAATTACTAAAAAATTACCAATTTATTATCTTTTGTCATATAAAGAAAACTATTAGGAATCCGTAAAAACTTGTTTTAAATTAAAAACTGTACAGCCTATAGGCAAATAACAAACTGACCAGCTGATTTCCTCAGAATTTATTCATTTTAATGATAATTACTAATTAAATTAGTCTTAAAGCCTTCTTTTATTGGATATTTTCACAATGTATGATTCATACTGTCAAAAATGGGACAAATGAGTTCATTTGGGGCCAAATTCTGGACTTTGTCAGTAGGGGGCTGGGTCTTTCGAATCTGTGATGACCCTGTGAAGCTGTGAAAATGTTTTTAAATAATACATCTTATCATTATAAATGTTCTTCTTTGCAACAAAATCAAGGGTCAATTATTTAGGCAACTGAAACGTGTCGAATAAAACAAATAAAACAAGACAATCGTCAATTACAGTATTTGTTAGGCACTTTTTAAAAGATATTTTTAATGTTTAATTTTCAATGTCAACGACAGTGATTTTACACTCAAACACCCACTAACCATGTTGTTGTTGCTGTTGTTATAATTAAAAATGACACCCAGTTTCAAACAATAGTCCCTTTCACATGCCGTCATGTGGTGTCCTGTTTGACTCCACCCTGTGTATTCGTACTTCCACCTACACAGAACTCCCTTTAGAGAAATCCCCCAGTCAGCTGTATGATTACTACAAATACACTTAGATGATGACTATATGGATGTTTTCTGTTGTCTGCATTTAAGGCGATATATCTGACATCTAAAACAAACATCAGCAAAATGTCAAAATATTAATAGACAATGTTTATTTAGAAGATAAAAACATTTATCTGTTTATTCAAAACACAGTTCAGATTTTTATATTATATTGTGTTAAAAGTGCCATTTCGGGGGGGGGGGGGGGTGTGTACACAGGTCGTTGTTTTAGGGGTGTGTTGCTTCACATGAAAATAAGTTTCGACTTCCCGCCCAACTTAATGAGGGGGCGGAGCCAAGAGCTCTCCCGCTTTGGGTATGGCAACAGACAGGCAGACAACATGAGTGAGAGGACCAGCATTCAGCCGTTGTACGACTCGGACACAGACTAAGCAGAGACTACTGTTGAGGAATCAATATTCCTAATGTGCCAGAATGTGTCAGAGTGGTAATTACAAACTCATTTGTGTCTTTGTATAGTTTTACAGCCGCTATGTAACGTTGTATGCGTCATCCATAAAGGGATGTAATGATTAACCGGTTTCACTATTAACAGCAATTTTATTCGTCACTGTTAATTAATATTAAAGGTTTCTCAACATTGTGTTTCTGCACAGAACAAAACTGCCGCAACTAAACAAAGTTATGCCAACTGTGTTCTAGTTTAAAGTTCCGAGCTTGTACACCGAGACTAACAACCATGCACACTGGATAAGCTTTGACTGAGGCTAAAACTAAGGAAAGTTTGTTATTTCCAATGGAGGGACACGCGAGGCGACGCGCTCACACTTTACAGCCGCACTTAGTTGAGATGACGGAGCTTCTGTGATTGCGGGAAATGCAAACGGCTGAAGTTTAAGAAAGATGCAATGAAAAGTACTCATGTTTGCAAACCCACCTAAAGTTACAAACAATGGCGCCGATGAGAGCAATCATGTGGTGAATGTTGATCCGCCAGCCGAGATCAATCAAGTATTTTCTGAGAGAGTGCTGAAAGATGTGGGAAAAAAAGTATGTGAGGTGGCTAGATGTCAGAATTCAAGACAAAAAAATGTATACAGATGACCTGCTTAAACAGCAATTCAAGAATCCTGCCAAGTCACAGTAACGTTAAACAGCTCTGAATCTTCTTTAGTTGGAGAATTGCAAAACACAGGAAAAAGACTTTCTTTTGAAACGGTTTCAGTAATGTGGTTCACTGTGTTGAATTAACAGAAATGCATCATATTTGTGTTTCTTCTGCTTTTAGTGCTGATCTCCATCCTTCATTCTGGACTCACTGAAGATGGAAGAGGTATTGTGAAATACTGCAGTACATAAGTTAGCTAATGTGCATTATGTTATAATGTACTGTATGTATATAGTGGGACATATACTAATAAAAAAGCTGCTGTCAAAACAGTGTAAGATGCAGGAACAATTACCCTCCTTCAAAAAAACAATAATTCACAGAATTATACTGCTTTTTTGGTTAATTAAGTGTGTAAGTGGAATTTAGCATAATTCTGAGATACTTGTATTGTTTATTATGCGTATCTTATGATGTCTATGTCAGGACAGAATTGCAGGACAACAAAAGGTGGAGGTAAAAAATGTTATTCTATTTCAGTAGTCAAAATCAGACAGATGGCGATGCAGTAGGTAGTGCTGTCGTCTCACAGCAAGAAGGTCGCTGATTCGAGCCTCGGCTAAGTCAGTTGGCGTTTCTGTGTGGAGTTTGCATGTTCTCCCTGCACTCACGTGGGTTTCCTCCGGGTGTTCCGGTTTCCCACACAGTCCAAAGACATGCGGTACAGGTGAATTGGGTAGGCTAAATTGTCCTTAAGTGTGAATGAGTGTGTGTGGCTGTTTCCCAGAGATGGGTTGCGGCTGGAGGGGCATCTACTGCGTAAAACCAGCTGAATAAGTTGGCGGTTCATTCCGCTTTGGTGACCTCGGATTAATAGAGGGACTAACCCGAAAAAGAAAATGAATGAATAAATGAAATCAGACAGTGTGCCGTTAATACAAATGAAACAAAAGAGGTGAACGCAGAGCTGGACATCTATGCAACATAAATAGACTTTGCTTGGCCCAGATAGAGAGGTAACAGGAGTATTAAACCACAGCGGCAAACCAGGCTGATCCTTAGGATCTGTAGAGTTCAGAGATCAGGCAGTCTGGGCAGAGTATAGGTGAAACACTTAAGACCATTTTAAGAAACAAGTGATTAATAATTTTATGAATGTAAACTTGTGGATCTCATACAGCTGTCCCATCCAATTTTAAAATGTCAACAACGCCCCTGGCTACAACCAGTCTGAGAGCTGCCACCATGACGTGTGATAAAAATGCATTTCATTGCTGTGAATTTAAAATTCAGGACACCAACAGACTCCTCTGGCCAAAGCGATTTTATCACGTTAACAGGGTTGGACAGTAGCGTGGCTACTAAAAGTAGATAATTTTCGACCAATCATCTTTCTTACATTTCCAATCACTCTCATTGGTTGGGGATCACTGTTTCAGTGGGAGACAGAAGCAAAGCGATCTCAAGTCAGCCAGAAAGCATGACAGAAGAGCTAGCCGTGGGCTCTTCGTGAAGATTAGACAGGGTAATTTTTTTCACTTGGCACATAATAGTGGAGTGAACTGAATGCCAGAGGTGTTAGTAAACTGAATAATGATGTTTCATAAGAGTTTTTTTTGGAGATACATGTTTTTTTATATCTGTATGACACACAATAATAAGTGAAGTTTATTTATAAACTAATTTCTCGAGGAGCACGTGCTTATGATCGAACACAGCTGGTCATTCATTACCCAATTCATGATTCACCAATCAAACAATTCCTAAGTCACTAAAAATACCCTTAGTTCCATATAACAGCCATCTTTGTTGGCCTACTCCTCCTCCTTTCCTAGATGGGTGTTGCCTCACAGCAAGAACGTCACTGGTTCTAGTCCTTACCAAGCCAGCCTACGTTTCTGTGTGGAGTTTACACGTTCTCCTCATGCTCACGTGGGTTTCCCCCGGTTTCCTTCCACCATCCAAAAACATGCAACATAAGTTAGACATGCTTCTAGTAAGTAGTTATCCCTTAAGAGCAATCACTATCTGTTCATTAGCTACTACAGCAAAGGAGTTCTCGAGATCTACTTGAGCTTAAACTCCCCTCTCGCCCTGCAACGGTAGGGACCGTGGGCTCGAGGATCTCATAAGCTCAGGGTTCTCTCCTGGGACGGCATGCCAAACAAGCTTTATAATCATCATCAGCTAGGTGTGAACTCTTGAAAAGACCATTCAGATAATTGATGCTCTCCTAATCCCCATTTAATTAAATTTAAACCCCCAGATACATCCCCCCACTCTCCTCTAACTTATACTTATACTCCTCACAATCAGTGCACTATTTAACATTTGCACACTTAAAAATTGCACATATGGTAGGTGACATAAAGATGATATATTTCAAAGTACAACTTTATATATGTAATTTGTTTTCATTGTTTTTTTAAATCTAAAAAAAAATAAAAATAAAAACTAAACTCAAGGATGTAAGATGCTGGCAACTGTTGAAATATATCATCCGTCTTGGGAAAAGGGTCTATTAATTTTAGTTTAAGATCTGTATGAGTGTCATGCTTTAGGATTTTTGTGTTTCTTCCCAGATTTACCAAGACCAGCATTGACTGTGACACCAGACAGTGCTGTATTCACTGGAGAGACAGTCAATCTGAAATGTGTGATTGAGTCTGATCACAGTGACTGGACATATGAGTGGTATAAAGACAGCAACTGTGTAACGTTACAGTCTGATGGTCATTACACTGTAAACAGAGACACTCTCACTATCAGAGGAGCTGCTGAGTCTGATCAGGGTCAGTACTGGTGTAAAGGAGTTTTAGGATGGGTCTCAATACAATCATCTACTGTTTCTCTCTCAGTAAAGGGTGAGTCGATTAACATCTAAATAGAAACAAATAATTTAAAGCAATATTACATACACATTATATTAATATTAGATTTTATTAAATAAATAATAATTTCATTTTAAGCAACTGAACCCAAAAGTCACATATTTGAGCTTTTGTTTAATAATTATTATTACATTATTAAATGAAATAAAAAAACTTCCTTTTATGGAAGGGCACTTTAAGCCAGCATCAGTATGACAGGTGCTCTTTTAAAAAAAAATGACCAGCTGGTGGCGCTTGAGCGTCCCATCCCCAGTGTTTGAGGACCAGAAAACAGGGGTCAGTTCTTCGTACGTGGATTACTCAGTTAGCTGGATTTGGATATTGACGATTTGACATGATCCAGGATCGTTTCGTTCTTCAAAGCTGATCCGAGAGTTGTTGTCATGGCAACAGTTCTGCTAGGTCAAACCTGATCGGGAGCAGGTTCAAATCATATAAACAGGATTAGATTGGCTCAGTTCAAGCAAAGATAATACAGAAAGTATGTACCGAGTTCTGATATTTTCTTACAGTAAAAGTTATATACACTTGGGAAAATAGTAAATATTTTTTAACTATATATATATAAAAGTTATAGTCATTAATAAAATAAATAAAGTTATACATATTAATAAAACGTATGCAATCTGCACCCTCGAAATGAAAGTACAAAGACTGCCACCTGGTGTTGCAAAGAGAAAACTTATTGATATGAACTTTTTAGATCGCTTTAGTACAAATTGTGTACAATAGAAATGCACAATATGTGACTTTTTTTTAAAGCAATATACATTTATGCAGTCATAAACATGTTTTGACAGTTAATATGCCAGTGATTTGATGCTTCACAAAAGTTGCAGACGCCTTTAACAATATCAAAATGCTTTTGGAAACAACCAGTTATTCTTTACACCGATTAAAAAATGGTTACTATAATAAAGAAAATCTTTTCTAAATGAAGAACTAAATACATTGATTTGCATTGAAATACATGATGAATACTCTTGTCTTGACAAATGAAAGTGTAAAGCCTGCAGCTCACAACAAATGTGAAGTTACTGCGTGTCATATTTAACAAGCCGTTTACTGCTAATTTTATGTAAATTTGCTCACATGGATAATTGAATATTAATCAGATGATGTCATTACGCTGCTGTGCCGTCAGCCAATCGTTGCATTGCTGATCATGATTTCGAGGATCGATAGATCTGTCCTTCACAACAAACGCAGCGATCTCAGATCAGTTCATCCAGATATTCTAATCTGATTCGCGAACTTGTTTGAAGAACCAAATTAGCGAGAGATCAGTTATCAAGATTAAAATATCCAGGATCTGCCAAATCATCTTAGATCATTTAAGCGAGGTACGAAGAACGGACCCCAGGACTAAACGTATGACAACACAAAAAGAACAACAAATATTAATAAATAATATACAAAGTATACAGAGATGTGAATTTACACACTACTATGTTCCCTAAAAGAGCTGTTTGAGTTACTTTTTTTGTCTTTGTCCTCAGATTTACCCAGATCTTCAGTGACTGTGACACCAGACAGTGCTGTATTCACTGGAGGGACAGTCAATCTGAAGTGTGTGATTGAGTCTGATCACAGTGACTGGACATATGAGTGGTATAAAGACAGAAACAGTGTAAAGTTACAGTCTGATGGTCATTACACTGAAAACAGAGACACTCTCACTATCAGAGGAGCTGCTGAGTCTGATCAGGGTCAGTACTGGTGTAAAGGACAGAGATCTGGAAGACCAAACTCATCACTATCAAGCTCTGCTGTTTCTCTCTCAGTGAAGGGTGAGTTCAATAGCATGTAAATAGAAAAAAAAAAAACACACACACACTCATTCACACTCATACACTATTACAACAATTCAGCCTGTATCCAATTCACCTGTACCGCATGTCTTTGGACTGTGGGGGAAACCGGAGCACCCCCCCAAGTCATCCATATTCTTCTGTATTTCACCCTCATCTCTTGCCCCCTTCACGTTTTGTTAATTCTCAATAGATAATTCCCATAATACCACAGGGCTAACCGCTGAGCTGTGTTTGAGTCACTTTATGTTTCTGTCTTCTCAGCTTTACCCACACCTACAGTGACTGTGGGAACCAGTGCTGCATTCACTGCAGAGACAGAATCATCACAATCAAGCTCTCATGTTTTTCTCTCAGTGAAGGGTGAGTTATTGACAGGCTTGGATTGGATAATCAGGAGGACCGGGAGAATTCCCGGTGGGCCGGTCCGTTTTTTGGCCGCAAGGGCCGATATCCCTAGCTCCAGAATCTGTTGCTCTCAGCAGTCACACTTTTTAAATTTATTTATTTATTTACTTGACCACAGTCTTCTTATTCATTATTTTACCGCAGCTCTGCTCTTTTTATCTATTTTCTCGCAGCTTATTGAGCAGGATACAGCCTGCAGGTTAATGATGATATAACTTAGATGAGTCACTACTCAATGATCAACTGTTGTGGTTCAGTGAATAGCATGTTAGTTTTCAACGCCGCAGACCTGGGTTTAATCCTCGTCTGAGTAATTTATTTTTTTCATTTTTATTGTTAAGACATATAATACTGTTAGGGTTGTTGAACATTTAAAGTTCTAAAGCAGCTGTTTTCTCAAAAAAAGACGTGATAGTGTCATTAGAAACTGATTTGTAAATGACCTTATTTTAATATAGTCATTCGTGAACTGAGGTGGGCCGGTCTGAGGCTTGAAACTACAGGGATGAAAAGGAGTCCCACTCCGGCCCTGGTTATTGAATCATGTTGTACGAGAGTCAGTAATAGCAGAAATGCTCATTTGTTCCTTCACAGGACAATCCTTCCAGCAGTTTTAGCACCAGCTACATGTGTTATTGTTGGAATATCCAGCTAATTCCATGCGTGTTCAAGAGAAAAGGTCAGGAGAGGTTTTTCTTCAATGCCAAAAATCGTAACAATTTATTAGATACAAATGAATAATTCGATGACAGAGCTCTGGGTTACATTACCCCAATGCAATACAAGAATTACATTCAAGAGGTTCGCAACTAACATACATTTCCTGACTTCAGCATATATACACCACCGATCTTAACAGGTGGAGTTTTGGTGTAATGTCACTTGTCAGTCATTGTTCAGTCCTCCATTGACCGCCCCTTCGGCATACTTCCTCTTTTTCTATGAATTCTCTGCCCAACAACAAAGTATACATCTTTCTGTGTTCTGTGTTCAGTTTTAACACCTCTCTTCAGACAGGAAGTTTCTGCAGAGCTGAATTTAATTTTGGACCCGCATCTATCTACTTCTGCAAAAATGCTAATTAGTATGCACAGCACTCACCCACAACATTAGAAGTTCAGTTAATATATGACCCTTACATGACCTATACAAATAATTGTTTGATTAAAAGAAAAGAGACAAAAAATAATAAAAAAATGGTTCCTATTATTCAATATTATTATCCTCTCTAGAAAAAATATTTTTTATATATTATAATGTGTCAAGCTTGAATCTGATGTTGTTCTCCTGCAGATTTAAAGCCAATGTCTGAACTCGGATCGGAACTGGGAAGAAATGCTGCAGGTAAGTGACAGACATACTAAACAAGGGAAACTAGATCTAAACCGCTGCAGGAAATGTCTGTAGCACATGGGCGCTGTTAGGACTATTGTAGCCTACGGTGGCCGGGAAGTGCAAAACGACATTACAAAGTGTGAAACACTTTCACAAAGCTCGAGACAAATTTACATTTTGATAAACATTTTACCTATCATCACACACAATTACATAGGAAAAACAACTTTAAGAAGGACGAAACAAATTTACATTTTAGAATGAAATTAACAAGACGCAAAACACTTTTACAAGTCCCGAAACAAATTTACAATTACAGATTCCTTACGGAAAGGGAATGCACCACACACCGGTAGTGACCCGGAATGTAACACACACACTGGCAAATATCAATAATACCCAGCTCGTGTGTGACTTTGTAGACAGGTTTCCACGTTTTCCATTTAAATTAATTTCAGTAATATTATTGACTAACATGAAAATGTTCATATGATTTATTTACAGTACAGTGTGTAAAGTCATATTTTCTCTCGCTTAGTAGATATTATTATGTAGAAGACTTGCTTTATTTACCATATAAAGTGAATCTAAATGGATTTGCTTTGTAAACATTAAATACAAGTTAAAAGATATTATTTTTTATTTCATATATTAAGTTTTTAGATATGATACTCCTAAAGTCATTTCTCTTTAATCCGCAGAAATAGCAAAAAATGCCCGCAGGCTCTGTCTGGCCCTACGTAAGGAGCTGAGCCCCCCTAAATTGAAAATCCTAAAATCGTCCCTGCTGTAGCATATATACTGACAATGCACAAATTAAGGAACACACATACTGTAAAATATGCAGGGTTCCACACAATTCATTCATGTTGTCCCAACATAAATTGATTAAGTTAACACTTTTAACACATTTATGTGGATTGAACATAAAAAGTAAGCTGTCCAAATTAAATCTCAAGAACTGTGTTGATTCAGCATAATTAAAAAAAGTAGTTTGAACAAGCAAAAAAAAAAAAAAAAAAAAAAAAAAAATATATATATATATATATATATATATATATATATATATATTTTTTTTTTTTTTTTTTTTTTTTTTTTTTTGACTGCAGATAGACCATCTAATTTACATATTGACTATGGGTGTGGAATGTGTTAAAACTATATCACAATATTTTTATTTATTTATTGCATAACTACATAAATGATGCTATTTCATGTGTATCGACTGTGAAACAAAAAGTCCTGTGTCTTTGCAAAAGATTTGTTTAATTATTATTATTTTATTGTTGTACAAAAAGTTTAAGCACATGTAAAATCTGAACACTGTGATATAAACACTATTCATAGTCAAAAACATCAACTATCCCTGTAGTAGCTCAGTATATTGCTGTAGTTTTTATTACTGAAAAGAATATTCATTCATTCATTCATTCATTCAATTATTCATTCATTCCTTTTCTTTTCGGCTTAGTCCCTTTATTAATCAGGGGTCACAAAGCGGAATGAACTGCCAACTTATCTAGCATATGTTTTACACAGCAGATGCCCTTCAAGCTGCAACCCATCACTGGGAAACATCCGTACACTCTCATTCACATGCATACACTACGGACGATTAAGTTTTTTTAATTCACCTATAGCATATATGTGTTTGGACATGTGGTGGAAACCGGAGCACCCAGAGGAAACCCACGCCAACACGGGGAGAACATGCAAACTCCACATAGAAATGCCAACCGACCCAGCCGGGGCTCAAACCAGCAACCTTCTTGCTGTGAGGCGATTGTGCTACCCACTGCGCCACCTTGCAGCCCTAAATAGAACACTATTAAAAATATTTCTTTCTCAGGCAGCACAGTGGCTCAGTGGTTAGCACTGTCGCCTCACAGCAAGGTCATTGGTTCAAATCCTGGCTATGCAAGGAGTTCCTCCGGGTGCTCCGGTTTCATGGTTTATTCGCTATAGGTGAATTGGATTGGGTTTCCCAGTACTGGGGTGCAGCTGTAAGGGCGTCCGCTGCTTAAAACACATGTTGGAATAGTTGGTGGTTCATTCCGCTGTGGTGACCCCTGATAAATCAGGGACTAAGCCAAAGGAAAATGAATAAATGACTGATGTTAAGAAGTAAATTTAGAGTTAAAGATATCAAGATATTAACATACAAAATTAGCATAGCAGAAAATGAGAAGAGATTTTTTATTGATAAGATAGTCTTTTAGCTGAAATCTAAACTAAACTGGCAGATTAGGATGCAAAGGGGACTTGATTTTTATGTCAGTAAACATCTGACTTCAATCAACAAGTCAATGGTTAAACAGACAGAGGAGAGTCGCCGCACGGCTGCATCTCAGTCAGAGGTCTGGGAATAATGAGAGATTGTTTACCACTGTAATAATATCATACAGCATGAGGTTGATGAACAGGTCTGTCATCTTCTCTTTTCAGCTTCATTATCATCATCATCATCATCATCGTCATCATTATCATCATCATCATCATCTTCTCCTCCTCCTCCTGGAACTCCTCCCCTTCTGGTCATTGGTGTTTCTGTGGGATTGAGTGTTTTCTTGCTGCTCCTCATCTTACTGGTCCTTCTGCTGAGACACAAGAAGAAAGGTAAGGATGAGTTAATATTAGGGGTAAGCAATATGGAACAAATATATCATGATTTTTGTTTTCAAGAAAGGTCTTTAAGACTATGTTAAACTTTCAAATACTTTACATTCAAATACTTTCAAATACCAAGCCACTATTATTGATAGACTAACTTCACAGATTTAAGCCTAGGATTACAGAAATGCTTTAGGCTTTCTCAAAGGTGTGTATGACCAAATTGTAGCTAAAATCTTAAGCCAGGCTTAAAGCACTGCTCACACTTTGCAATTTCAGCCATGATTTGGTCGTCTGAGACAAATTTGGTAAATCCTAAAAAAATTTCCTAAAAATTCTCCTAAAATCCTAGGCTAAAATTTGTTGGTTTGACAGATTCCCTGCTAAATTCAGACGCTTAATGGACAATGCGATCACATTTTCCCTCTGATGAAGTTCTGGCAGATTTCAGACTCTTTCCAGCAGAGAGTGATAGGCTATATGCACAGCTAGTGTTGTTTCCTCTACAGATGAACCTCTGGTGAAAAATTAATGTGCCTATTTTCAATGTCACATGATTCCTTTCACAGCATCAGTGTTTTAGTTAAAACAAAATCAGTTCAATAGACTGAAGCATTCATATAGCTGTTCAAGTGTTAAACGAGAGGAAAAGTCGTTTACATGCATGCACCATCAGGATAAGCAGGCTAATGCAGAAACTCCATTGAAAATACTGGAGTAAAATAAATGTGCATATTTTATATATTTTTGTATCAACAAAGAGCCTAGAATCACCAAGAGACACTCTAGTGCAATTTGGAAAACAGCCACTAGTAGGCGTGGTAGCCATTTTGGAATGAAAATTCCAATAGAACAGCAGCATATTATAAGTCTGTAAAATAAACTATTAAAAGTGCTGATGATAGTGATAGTAAGTGTTGTATTGTCGTCTTTCAGGTTGTATCTCAGCTTTAATGCACTTTTTTAAAATAAATAAATAAAAAACTAAGCAGCTGCTTGCCATCGCAACAGCAATAAGATCCAATGGACGGCCGACTGCTTTCACTCCAAAATGACAGAATCCAGGGCTGTTGCTATGGAACGTTCTATTGAGTGTCGCCTCTTAGTCAGTCTAAGCTCTTTGATATCAATCAGGCAGTGAAAATCGCAGATTTTAATAGAAAACAGACCTTAAACACAGAGATTTTGTAACAGAATACAGTTAACCGGAAGAGATTTAACTGAGTTACTGAAAATAAGTCCTTCCGCATATACCCTGTGGCGCTACTAAAAAAATCAAACCAAGAACCAATAGGAGCTTACCACAACTTCAAACTACCAAAGGAAGGTTTTTATTATTAGGCATGCTGTGAGCAAAATTACCGCTACAGTTTGTTTATTATGAGGGATCATTTCAGAACGCAGAATAGTGAAAGTGTCACGGATGAAAACAACTTAAGTCAATGGGGTCCAGTGGTGTTTGAAACCCAATGTTTGATCAGTTTGACATGTCCCTTTATAAATATATAACCTTTATAATATCCATATTTTGATTTATCTTTTATAATCAGCTTTTTTTTTTTCTCCAACAGGTCTTTATCATGTTTATGACGACGTAATAAAAGCGGAGAACAGAAACAAAGGTTGTGGCTTTATGAACACTTGTTTAAAGTTTAACAAATGTCATTTATTCTCATTAGTTTGACTTGTATGTTTTAGAACCAGCAAAATTCTTCACATATTCAGATGTCACTAGTCCTTCCAGTATTTCTTTCAGGACATTTGTCAGATTTTTGCAGCCTAAAATGATTCAATTCAATTAAATTCACTTTTATTTGTATAGCGCTTTTACAATGTAGATTGTGTCAAAGCAGCTTCACATAAAAGATCATAGTAAATTGAAACAGTGTAGTTCAGTTTTTAGTGTTTAAGTTCAGTTCAGTGTGGTTTATTAGTCACTATTGAGGGCCTAAACACTGAACAGAAAATTTATCAATGCTTAGCTCAGACTAAAATGACTGATCTTACCGCTTTTTTAGCAGCCTTTCTCAAAATGTATGGCATTTCACCTAAATTATTTCATGTTAAGTATTTTGCTAAACATATAAAGCCTACTAAATAATAAACTGTACATGATTATAAATGTTAAAAGTATGAAATATCAGATTTTTTTTCTTCTGTTTTAGACAAAATAGGAAAAACATAAAAAAATATCTAAGAGTGCTTTCACACCTACACTTTTGTTTCGGAACGTATCTCGTTTGCCTAGTTAGCGCGGTTCGATTGGCATATGTGAACAGGGCAATCGCGCTCTGTTCCGCGCCAAAGTAATCTCTCCGAGATCGCTTGAATGAGGTGGTCTCGGCTCGATTGAAACAAACCCTGGAGCGGTTCGATTGTAGTGAGAAAGCGATCCGATCCGAGCGCGGTTGTATCACTGTGTTTTATGGATATGTAATAGGCATACGGCTATATGAAGAGAGAATTATGAGTGGGGTGGGAAGTTTCGCGAGTCTCCGGATGCCCGCAAACGAGTGATGAACTCCCGCCCCCGGTAATCTCGCGTCTTCCTCCAGGTCCTCAAATAGGCATCGTCGCGCACCCTTCTCACCCCTCCCCACCGCGTCTCTCCTCAGACACGTCGCGCGCGCACACCCTGTCAATCACCACCAAACCACCACCTCTCCTGACAGCTTAGCGGGACGCTGCAAAATAAACCCTGACACTCTGACCAATGTGAGGAGAGTTTACTCGCACGTGACTTGTTTTAGCTCTTTTGGTCCGATTAGAAACTTTGCAGTGTGAAAGTGAACTGCTCCAAGAGCAAAGAGCAACAATGTAACAATTGTAATCTCTGTTTCGGAACAACTGAATCGATTCACAGGTGTGAAAGCACCCTAAGTTTCAAATATTATGTGTTGGTTTGTTCAGTATTGCAATCCATTAAATTTTGTCCACCACAATATTGTAATCGTCTGCTGCACTTCTCTGAAAACTATAATATAGGGCAACTCGAATAACATTTGCACCACACTGCTATTTTGAGCTGGGTTTTCTTACATTCTCATTATATGCAAGGCAAGTTTATTTCTATGGCACATTTGATATACAATGGCAACTCAAAGTGCTTTACATTAATTTATTCTTTGATGTTGTTTATTATCAGGGCAGAGCAGTCTGGAGACACTTTATGTTCTGAACTGAAGCACAAAACAGACAGAGGTGAGAAAAACACAAGCAACACTACTGCTGTTGCTTTAAACCTGTGTTTCCCAACCCTGTTCCTGAAGGCACAACAACACTACACGTTTTCAACCGCTCCATAATCAAACGCACCTGAATCAACTTAGAACATAAGAAAATTCAAAACCCGATAAGAATGGATCAACTAAAGGAAATATCTATATGTATTGTTGGTGTGCCTTCAGGAATATGGTTGGGAAACACTGCTTTAAACAAACCATTAAATATACATATGAACCTTCCTGCACTGTTGAAGCATGAACAATTATAAGTAAATGTTTTTGTAAGTTATTTTATCACATTTTTTTATAATAATCTTTAGGAAGGAGAATAAAACACATGAATTGTGTCGCAATCGCACAATTTAAAAAATAAAGCTGATTTGATCATATTTTAGTGTATATTGCCTGTCAGTGCAGTTATTAATGAGGATCAGTAGTTAATCGTGATCAGAAACTTTACATCTTCATTATCATCATCAAACATATTATCTTGAAGGATTTATATCACCCTGCAGTGTCTGTTGCCATTTGAGAAACTTTACAGATCTAATAAAACTGCACCTCAAGATAATTTTTTTAATCTGAAAGCTTTAAGCAGCGGCTATGTGTCCCCAGCGTCCACTGAGCATCTCATGGTACCAAAGTGTCATGCACTGTCTGTCCAGACTTTCTGGAGCCAAAAGACATAAATTTCGTGCCTGTAATAAATATGGCATGAGGAAAGGTGACTCACTTTCTTCAGCTGCAGCCCATATGTTACACTAGTTAACACCAGATATTGCACTTCGGACAAAATGGTAGAGGGTATAATCTAATTAATACATATTCAACCTATTTAGCATTATTAAAAGTACACAGACAGCACAGTGGCGTAGTGGGTAGCACAATTGCCTCACAGCAAGAAGGTCACTCGTTCGAGCCTCAGCGGGGTCAGTTGGCGTTTCTGTGTGAAGTTTGCATGTTCTCCCCGTTCAGCTCTTCAGCTAGAAAAGGTGACTCAGCGATGCATGGCTGGCATCGTTCTACACAAGTGATTGTGATTGCTGCTATCTGTTTGCTAACGCCACCAACTCATTGGCATTTCATTGGCCCGCTTTTATACTCTTTTAGATGATTGGTTTCTGACAAAATCCCCATAGTGGAAGCTTCCACATTGCATTATTTTCTTCTCAATGATGTTCCTCATTACAAGTTCAAAAACATTAACCATTTTTGCATATCCATACTTATTATAATAGATATAATTAAAGGATACCTAAACTATTAATTAAATTAGAAGTGTACCGCAAAAAAATAAATAAATAAATAATAGCCATTTCAAATTTTACTCAAAAAAAAATACTTTTCCCCCCTCAACAAATACAAATACAGATACAAATACCGGCTGCTTTGCACACCCCTAATTGGCATCTGTGACTTGACCACTTTATTATTTTACTTGCTATTTTATAGTATGTGAATTATGGTTTTTAAATAATTATTTGTTAACACTTTATTTGAAGGGAGCATTCATAAGACACCTTGTCATAACACCTTTACAATCATGACATCACACGTCATAAATGTAAAAGATATTTTATGCATGCTTGTGGCATGCATGTCCACTGATGCCTTTTTGCACTACAGAAAAGGAAGCTGAGTAGTTTTGTTTTTTCTGCTGTCACCCTCACGTAAATAATAATAATACAACTGAGATGAATCCAAGATGTAAGTGTTTTCAAAAATAATAGAGCAAAAGGAGTCCAAAAACAGTGTAAAAGATTTCACAAGACGTGGCAAAACATGAGCCGAAAGCATCCAGAGGTCAGCCGATAGCCAGGCAAACAGTCCAGAAATCCAGAGAAAGATCACTGAGATTTCTGACAAGACACGGAGTAACATGAACAAACAATAACAAACTGACAATGTAATAAAGGGCTGCCGCTTAGATACAGCTGTGGTAATTAGCCACAGTTGGGCGGCTAATCAGAACAGCTGATTATCGTAGCAATAAACCACATGACCACAACAACACTGTCACCCCATTCATGTTTTTTCTAATTTATTTAACTACAGTGTGCAAATGCAACGTGTCATTAAACTGTCATTAAACATTAATGGTACTGTTAAAAACGTATTACACACTTTCAATGAGCAATATTAATATTTGTTTTTGTTCCACTGAAAAAATTTATCAGAAAAAAAAACTATATATTTAAGGCCCTATAACATTTATGTTTATGACAGGTTTATGACAACTTATGCCATCTTCATAATGTCACATAGTCACAAACACATGTGAAACAATGTCGCCCAATGCCAATGCATTTAAAATGACAAAATTTCCCTCATATTTATGCTGCTTCAACCTCACATCATGATTATGTCATGACAGTCTTATAATCACCCCCTTTAAGTACATTTGACCAATTATTGACTGATTGAATAATAACTGTCTGGATACATTAGTAACTTACAATTTCATTGAATGTATGAGCAATGACAATCAAACAACCCATCCATTAACAGTGTGAAGCTCAAATCATCATGTTGTGTGTTCTTGGCATTAACTGCATTCATCTGCATGATGTTTTTAAAGGTCGGCGAGTGCAGTGAAGAAGACAGACACCAGAAGAAGAACAGCAGCGCTTGCTTTGCTTCAGAAATGAATCTGAGTAAACTGCTCAATCAAACAAAGCCTGGTTTCGCCACAGCAGTGAAGCAGATGATTTGTTTTGTTCATATACTTAATTTAACTTTTTTTAGCACAGTAATGTATATTATATGTGCTACTTTTGCTGTAGTTAATGCGGTGAGATTTAGATTTCATGGATTTAACGTTTGTTCATTACATATTAATCTAAACTCACAAAATGTACAAATGTTTTAAAATGTTAATCTTAATGTTTTAATAATTATATTATTATTGTTAACACAGTGCATACCCATATTTTTGATTAGATTATTACATGCGATTGTCTTTGTATTTCCTTATTCTCTGAACATGCCTGTGAATGGGAACATACATTGAGTGTAAACTGAGGGGACCAAAATTCTTAGTCTTAAAACATAACTTGCCTTTGGTGTGGATTATAAACTCACCATGAGCATGCCATTAAAACAATGTCATTGTTAAATCTACTTGATAACATGTTTATCTGTGACGCAGTGGCGCAGTAGATAGTGACGTCGCCTCACAGCAAGAAGGTCAGTAGTTGGAGCCTTGGCTGGGTCAGCTGGCATATCTGTGTGGAGTTTGCATGTTCTCCCTGTGGGTTTCCTCCTGGTGCTCCGGTTTCCCCCACAGTCCAAAGACATGCGGTACAGGTGAATTGGGTAGGCTAAATTGTCCGTAGCGTATGTGTGTGAATGTGTGTGTGTGTGGATGTTTCCCAGAGATGGATTGCAGCTGGAAGGGCATTCGCTGTGTAAAACATATGCTGAATAAGTTGGCGGTTCATTCTGCTGTGGTGACCCCAGATTAATAAAGGGACTAAGCCGAAAAGAAAATGAATAAATGATGAACATGTTTATCTTGCTAAAAATGCTTAAAAACAAATTAAAATTGTATTAGAACAAGTTTAAAAGGAATAAAAACCTAAGAAGGCCTAAATTTGAATCAGAAAGAGCTTAATTGCTGTCACAATCCCCAGCAATCTAATCCTAACAGATCACTAGTAAACATGCAGATTGCTAAAAAGACTACAAATCCGCTGGTATTTAAACTACAAGTTCCAGTCATGCACCACACACCTGTTCCAGATCAACGTTGATTACACTCATGCAGCTGGGAGCTGCTCAAACAACACAATCTCACGGCAATGCAAACTTTTTGATTTAGTGGCTAATTCGTATGAATTCATACGATCTAATTTGTACAATTTAGTACGATTTGCTCATCCCCCAATGACTGTTGGGTTTAGGGGTGGGATTAGGTGCCACGCCTCCTTTTTAAAATCATACAATTTCGTACGACTGAACTTGTACGGATCTGTATGATTTAGCCACTAAACTGGCAAAACGTAAAATACTTACGTTTTCTCGTGAGATCAGGCTGGCTCAAATACTGATTAGATCGACTTTAAATACAGTGCGCACACACACACCTCTTTGCTGAGTCTTGTCTTACTGCTTTTGTGAACATTGCGTTTTGCCCTGCCTAGCCTAGTTTCTGACCCTCGCTTTTTGTTTGTTTTCGCTGCCTGCTGCCTGCCTTTTGATTATTCACCTGTTTTATGACCATGACTCTGGATTCCCTGTATACATCCGTTTGCTCCTGTGTTGACTGTTGTTTGCCTGACAATTCTTTAAGAACATGCATTTGAATCCGCACCCTTGTCATCGTCCCACTTCACATTACAGTTGCCAGTTATGTTCACATATACGAGGAATTTGTTTTCTTGGGAGAGCTTCTACAGTGCAACACATTGACCGAGACTAGACAAAAAAACAGAAAAAAAACAGATACATATATTTTAAAATTAGAAGTAAAGAGAGAATGCAAATATACAAATTGACAATTGTATGTAGAGCTATATTACTATATACAATGTTACATTTGCAGTTGTTATATGCAAATTGTCAAGTAAAGTTTGTTGTTAAATAAGTGTATCTGTGTATAATTCAACCCAAGCTCATTCTGGAAACGTAGCCCCGCGAACGTTTCTGGAGACCGCGATTTACGTGGCCGGAGGTACATAAAGGCCGCGTTTAGTTTTTTCCGAGCGAACGCTGCGGGGCGGTGTGGCGCCGCTCCGCCCCTCCTCTTCGCGCTCGCCGGCCGACGGCTCGCCTCCGAGTGGAGGGCTTTCCTGATGCAACCAGTTTGTCCGCCTAGCTCACAGCGTTGCGTCGACGGAGCGGAGGCCCCAGCGGAGGAGGAGGAGCCGGCCGCGGTGGACGACGACCAGGATCGAGTCCGGGGAACGGTGGTTCCGGAAATCAGGTAAGACGAAAAACGGAATCCGAAAAATAAGGGCGAGAATGCGGCGGGATCCGAAAACGCGGTAGAACTCGAAGACGAGGGCTATTGCTTTTTTCTTTTTTTTTTCTGGACGGCTTTTGCGAACCGTCGCTCGGGTTTAGGGAAGGAGGAGGAGGAGGAGGAAGAGGAGGGTGGCCGAGTCGGCCGATCCGGCGTCTTTTCGCGCAAGAACGGCGCGCGCTCCCGAGAGGCGCCCGAGACGCGAAAAAGCGCGCACAGCGGCTTCTCGCAGATCCCTGAAAAAAAAAAAACCGCTCGAATACTTACCTCCCGGGACGTAAATCGCGGTACGCAGAAACGTCCGCGGGCTACGTTTCCACAATGAGCCCTGGTTGGTATAAAAAGTAGTGTTGTTTGTTTCACAATTACTATCATCAAGTGTTCATGAGATGTATTGCCTGAGGTAACTGTTTCTGCCTCTGGCTGTTCTTGTGCACAGTTCTTGTAGAGTCGAACAGAAGATAAAAGTTCAAGCAGACAGTGTGCTGGGTGGAGGAATCCAGAGTGATTTTGACAGCCTTTCTGCTCACTCTGGATAAGTACAGATCTTGGAGAGTAGGGAGGGTTGTACCAGTGATTCGCTCAGTGATAGTCTCTCTGAGATAGCAGCATGATTACAATAAGTAAGATTCGAGACATGACTCGCCACAGATAATTTTATTTTTAAAGTCCCTGGTGACTGGCTGAGATCAATACCTTTCATTACATTTGGCTAGCTAAATCGATCTACTCCCAGCAGGGGGTAGAAATCAGGAGCCGTGTAATTTACTTCCAGAAAGAAGTTGAAATTGGGGAGCACGTAATTAGAGCTGTATTAGAGGATGGTGATCACCAGAATGGGGAAGTCCCAGAGTAAAGTGAGAAAATATGATACACCTGTGTTTTGGAATATGGACAAACTGTTTTACGCTGTTTTCATCTGTTCATCTGTCGTGCTCTCATGAATAATTAAGCAGCCGGCTCTTCTCAAGGAAACTCCGCTTTGAATAATAATGAGAAACCGACGCGTCATCATTGGACTTGCGGTACTTCGCTATGTCGCCGATTTTGAACCCTCCCCAAAAATCATTTTAAACCCGGAAGCTGAAATTAGCTGACAAAAGCTCAAAATTATCCAGTTTTCCCCACAATTAAAGCTGACAGATGCTAACATTGTCTTAACTGATGCTCAACACACACAAATCTGTTAATATATAAAAAAAAGTTCTCCAGGGTGTCCTGAACCTTTAACAATGGAGTCAATGTGAGCGTCCAGCCTGATCTCAAGAGGAAACGTAAGTATTTTACGTTTTGTCAGTTTAGTGGCTAATTCTTAAAAATTCGTATGAGTTCAGTCGTACGAAATTGTATAATTTTAAAAAGGAGGCGTGGCACCTAACCCCACCCCTAAACCCAACCGTCATTAGGGGATGAGCAAATTGACTAAATTGTATGAATTAGATCGTACAAATTCATATGAATAAATCTGCGGTCACACTGGGCTTTTCCCCCCATAGACTGCCATTCATACGCAAGCCAATGCATCAGACCGGAAACGCAGGGTCATGTGTTAAGTTTAGCAGGTCGCTGCGGTGCAAATTTCAAGCTTGGTGAACTCTGACCAGAAAATCGCATCACTTGACTGCGTGAAACCAATCATGGATCAAAACATAACATTTCTGGACAGAAATTTAAAACATGGAGGAATTGCTTGCTTTTTTAAATGTCTTATAAGCTTGTTTAATCCCGCCCCTTTTCGCAGAGCTGTACGACAGAATTTTGCAAACTCAAACTCTGGTGTGACCGCAGCTTTAGCCACTAAATCAAAAAAGTTACAAATTGCCTCGAGATTTTGTTGGAGCGTCCCACTTCAGGACCTGAGAGATGATGGTGCACAGGAACCTGAATGACTCCACTGCTGCCACAATGCTGTCCATGATGCTCAGGGTGCACTAACAACATATTATCCGAACCGTTCCCAGGCGCGTTTCCTCGTTTTGTTTGAGAAGTGTGAGTGCTCCAAATTGGGCTCAGGCACAGTTCAGGTGGCTGGTTCTGGCACATCTGGAGGTGTGCACGAGCGCAGTTCGATTGGGCTTTGGCACGGTATGCTTGTAGTGCGAGTGCAAAGTTCGCCTGAGCCTAAAACTGAAGATTCAACGTCACTTTTAAGGGACTGTTTTATGTGGATTTATTAAACATTCTTACTCCTCAATGAACGCGAACTGTCATAGTATTAAAGATGCAAACCCCTTGCTGCACGTCAGCTGCACCTTTAGCAAACCTCCTCATTCCTGCAGCACGGGGACTTATTGACAATTTATGAGCGTCAAAAGTTGTGGATCTGTTCAGAAAAAGATTTGACTGTGTGTGTCAGTGCATCCACAGTGCTGAGCAAGAGCGCTTCTCTTAATGTCAAACTGAACCATCGCATCATCGATGACGCAAGCGTGCTCAGGTTTGGTAGGTAAAGATGAAGTGTGAGTGCAGGCCGTCGGGGAAGAGGGGACAACCGTGCTTGCATCAGCATGATTCAAGGCGACAATGCCTAGTGAGAGTACGCCCTCAGTGGGGGGAGAACAGAAAGGTTTCTCCAGAAGTCCACTATCAACTCCACTGTTTTGAGCTCCAGGTTGTTGTGACTGCACCAGACAGCCAGCTCCTTAACCTCCTGTCTGTAAGCAGACTTGTCATCGTCCTGAATGAAGCAGAGTCTGCAGGTCTACATTGTTGTCTCCTCCCTCAACTCTTAGATTAAACCCAGGAAGTGTGTGATTGAGCAGCCAGCGCTCTGCTAGAACAGTCCATTAGTGTGTCAGGATGGGCTCCAGTGCACTGCCTCTCCTTCTCTGTGAGTATTTGATCAGATTCTCCACTCTTCTGCTCTTTAATACTGTTTTAATCATTCAGCTGAAGATGAGAGAATGATTGTGCTGTATGTTCTTGTGTTTATTAGTCAGATTCAGTGCTGATGTGTGAAGTGTTGATCAGATACAGCGCTGCAGAGATC